AACATCTAGCTTTAACGGTGTTGATAGTGTCAAAGTAACCCAGGGTAAGGCCAGCCCTAAAGAAGTGGTCTTCATCCCAGTCACTATATAGTGATCTGATATATGTGATAATGTTAATAGACAGCCAAAATATTAGTTGTACGTCCTACCTGCGTAAGCACTATGGACATTAGTGAAAGGGTCACCTACAATACATCAACCCACTTGCAATTCCTCTAAGACAGACTGAATGGTTGACACAGATTATAGGTAACTGCCCAGGCGAATAAGCCAGTAGACTTCAATGATTTTAGAGTGTCATTTTCTATGGAGTTATTATAGGTGGCCTCATCCAAACAAACTTACAATAAGGCTGAGTGAAGGGCCATGGTAGACTTCAAACACATTATTTTTTTATGTTACTCATCAGCAAGTAGACCCAATACTCGTTGAGAGAATATCGTTTGGTCTCGGGGTCAGCTGAAAGGAATACCTTAACAAATTCAACTTGTTCAAAGAAGAAATTGACTCATGCCTTTAAACAGATGGTGGGGATGTTGAGCCTCAGAGTTGAGCATACTACCCGGGTTAGCTTTCAGGACATGTTGATTCTTTTACACAATTTCAATTGTGAATCCAAACAAGCCTATGTGCTTTCACAACAATGTTTGAGTGTTGGTGTTAAACATACCGGGAAAGCGATTGTATGCTTTAAATAATGGCATACAGTTTAAATTAGGAAACAAACTATCAACCCGGTGTAGCTTGCATTCCAAGCTAAAACACAGGACATTTTGTCAGAAATATCAAAAGTCCACTCAACAAAGTGGGAAAAGGCATGGAACAATAGTCTCATGCATTCCTGGCAAAAACCAGCTGAACTTTGTTGTTTTGTGTGCAACAACAGGTTATGGTGTGTCTTTCCAGGACACCATCTCGGCAACAGATCACTTAACACAATCTTTATTTATCTTTTATGTGTACTATCTATCCTGACACCGCTTTTGATGATCAAAAGTTCCTTGTCAATGTAGAAGACGCCATGGACGTCCTGTAGATCTTTCAAAAGCTACCAAACAATACCAAGATGTCCTACAGTATTCCGACTTCAAAGTGGGTTCGGCCTTGCCTCATATATGGATCCTGGTGACCGGCTACAACAGATCTAACCTTGGGTGTTAATACAACCATAAACACCACAGCAATGCCACCCCACATGGTAAGGGGGGACTGATCAAGCCACTGTCACACGTGATAGGGTCAACCATAAACACCACTCCACTTATATTAGGCGACGAGGATTTGGAGCAGTCAGTGTTGATCATCAAGATTCATAAAAAACAATCATTGTGCATAAGGTCATAGACAGGCTTTGTATAATAATAGTTGGTTAACCCGCCTTGTCGACAAAGCACCTAGAAGCACGCCTCATACATTAGCCATACCAACGCCCATGTGTCTTCAGTGAGCCAGCCTGCTGTTTTTTAAAGGTTAAGAGAAAATAGAACCAATGATCCCAGGTAGGGCCTTGGTCGCCTTAGCAACTTGTGAGGTTCCGTGGCTGTGTAGGTGATTTTTGCTCCACTCTTTGTCTGACAGAAATGGTGGTGATGAGGCTGGAGACCCGTCTCACCTGTGGTAGCAAACACCAAGATCGAGATGGCTAGGCCCAGGAGCGGATCTACGATTCTAGAATGGAGGGGGGGGGGATAAGTTGGCCGAAGGCCAAGTTCGTGAGCGCCGATGGCGCGAAGCCCTGTTGGTTGTTAAAAAGTAAGGGGCCACAGCCCCCTCAGCCCCCCTCTAAGTCCGCTCATGAGGCCAACCCCCGTGGGGATGCTTGTATTTCTGATACTTTGCTCTCAGAAGAGTGTACACTCAACCAGGATCCAACTAATTGTCACTCTGACATGGCTTATTTGGAACCTGTGAGCTTCACTTATTGTCGAGGCTGCCCCAAGGTGGGCGGCTCACTCATCTTTGAAGTTTAGTAAACTCCCTTCAATTTTGCAACTGGATTCCTCATCTCCAGTGTTATTGAGTTTAGTCTGCGCTAATTGTGTCATCTAATTTATTCAGTTTTGCTAGATTGTTGGTAAATTCGCCATTGTTCTGCGTGAATTTGTCCAAATTCCATAGCTCACTGAGGTTAAATGTAAAACTGTTCTGAGTTTGATACTGTGAGGGTATTCTCCACCAGCATCTAAGTCATATTTTTTTTGACCACCCACACGAGTCCATTTCTCGAGTGTCCCCCGCGTAGCAGAGAAAGCTCTGTCTAGTGCCTTATTGATCTTATGAGTTGATAGAACTGCCTCCTACTTGTGGTGATGATGATAGTTCATGTATAGACACATTCCCTCAACAATTGTGGTATAGACTTGAAAACCTTGATCACAATAGAACGTTTTCCAGACATTAAGTAATCTATAAGTGGAATTAAAGACGTTTTATTCAAATTTCAAAGCTCTATATTGGATACGCTCCATCTTTTTTATATTACCAATTCAATAGAAATTGCAAACAAGGGAGCGATAATTAAAATGTGAAAAAAAAATGAAACAATGGAAAACAAAATTTCAGATAATTGACCGAGATATCTACCATTCTCTGTAATTCCTTCAACTAGGCACTAGCTTGTTTGCAGAATACGTTGATATGGTCAGTCATTACCATATTACCAGATTCCATTAATCTGGGTTATTGCCTATATTCACCCCCGTGATCTGATACAATTTTCGGTATCAATAATATTACCACCGATGTCAAAACTTAATCCATTATCTGAATCTTTCAAAACGATAGTTGAAATTTAATAGGAATTGCTTTCATGTCGTTTTCACGAAACCACTTAATAGCTGTGATTGATTCAAGGGTAAGACTATTAATTATCTCTTGTTTCTTATTACATATAGCCGGCAAAGTATTATCATCGGAATAATTAAATAAACGCACCTTACCGATTGTAAAATAAAAGGCGTTAAAATTTAGAACAAAGCCGGCCCAAGAATTCACTGGCACAGTCACTGCTTACGGGGCGTTAAAGCAGGGGATTCGTCACCTGCGCAGGTGACGACCCTCCCTTTCAAGTTAAATAGGACCACAATAGAGCACAGTCAATTCTAACTTAATTCTCGTTTCGATTTGAATGAGACTGATTTCAATTGAAAAAAGTTCAGTTTATAATTTTTATAAGCATATCTATAAAAATAAAAATGCATTTGCTGACTTCAGTATGTTTCATTTAATTTTAATTTATTGTTTATTTACCGGCTTTGAAGTGTTGGTCACTGTGATTTTAGGTAAAAACACTCAAGGTTGTGGATAACTAGCGCCACCTGAGGGAACACAACAAATACTGTTGTTTTTAATTATCAAATATAACAAATATTTATAGACTGTCTTTCGAAAATTAAACATTTATTTAAACAATGCATGTGTCCATAAATATTAATATTAATTGTTAGTCAACTATAATACAATTGAAGAGTTTTAGGATACTCTAATTTAAGTTTTTAAACATTCTTGTTTGTATTGTGCTGAACGAACAAGTAGCTGCTAATGTAAACATCGTTATTTATGATTCTTGGAAAACCCATCGAAATTTCGCTCGCCTGCAGGGCTTTGCACAAACTTATAAATTTTATAATTATATCATGTTTCAAAATCAGGCAAATTTGTGTGAGTTGCGATGATGTCATCTAACATTGGCATGCGTGAGGAACACATACAGTTATTAAGAAGGTTACGGGCCGACATAGTTCGTGTTCTACATGTTGATAAAATACTGGATATCATGGTCGCTGATGAAGTAAGTGTTTGTAATCCCCGCTATCTCCACTTAGACAAATACGGCGATCCCTGTGTTGGAAGATCCTCTTTCCGTATGACACCTATGCTATGACCCTTACCCCAACACAGTGAAGTAGTTCGTGCATATATAACCACTAACTCCACCTGAATGAGTTTTAACAAGTTTATTTGCCACCACGACTAAGGCACCAACTGAACAATTTACTAGGCTATGTACTATGTGTTGCGATTGGCTGATTCATTACACGTGATGTACATGTATACGCATGCTTAATGGACCTGTCGTAACATTAATATGAACGTGAAATAGTTGTGCGACTCTGTTACAGAGTTCAATACAATTAATATGGTGAGCCTTATTTATAAATGTAGGTCATTGACCTCGGATGCCATTACATGCCATTGGTCTGTAGTTAATAAACAAA